AATAAGTTGACTTTGCAGAGTCACACACTTGTAAATATTGTCCTTTTTCTTTTTTTTTTTGAGATAGAGTCTCGCTCTGTCGCCCAGGCTGGAGTGCAGTGGCGCAATCTCAGCTCACTGCAAGCTCTACCTCCCGGGTTCACGCCATTCTCCTGCCTCAGCCTCCCAAATAGCTGGGACTACAGGTGCCCAACACCACACCTGGCTAAATTTTTGTATTTTTAGTACAGACCGGGTTTCACTGTGTTAGCCAGGATGGTCTCGATCACCTGACCTCGTGATCTGCCTGTCTCGGCCTCCCAAAGTGCTGGGATTACAGGCGTGAGCCACCACACCCGGCTTTTTTTTTCTTTTTAAAGACAGGGTCTCACTCTATTGCCCAGGCTGGAGTGCAGTGGCATGATCTTGACTCTCTGCAGCCTCGACCTTTGACCTCCAGGGCTCAAGCAATACTCCTGCCTCAGCCTCCCGAGAAGCTAGGACTACAGGTGCGTACCACCATGCCCGGCTAATTTTTGTATTTTTGGTAGAGATAGGGTTTTGCCATGTTGTCCAGACTGGTCTTGAACTCCTGAGCTCAAGGGACCCACCTGCCTTACCTTCCCAAACTGTTGGGATTACAGGCGTGAGCCATGGCACACAGGCTAAAATTGTTCTTTCTAAAACTACAATTTCTGCATTGAGTTAATTAGTGTACTTTCCTCTGTGGTTTCCCTTTTGTCAGAATGCTATTTTATTCACTAGCCTTGGGCAGCTTAATTCATCTCAGATTTGCATTTAAGAAACTGAGGGCTAGGCACAGTGGCTCAGGCCTGTAATCCCAGCACTTTGGGAGGCCGAGGCGGGAAGATCACAAGGTCAGGAGATTGAGACCATCCTGGCTAACATGGTGAAAACCCGTCTCTACTAAAAATATAAAAATTAACCGGGCATGGTGGCAGGCGCCTGTAGTCCCAGCTACTCAAGAGGCTGAGGCAGGAGGCAGAGCTTGCAGTGAGCCAAGATTGCGCCACTGCACTCCAGCCTGGGTGACAGAGCGAGACTCCGTCTCAAAAAAAAAAAAAAAAAAGCAGCTGCCAAACTGGGGCGGATCACCTGAGGTTGGGAGTTCGAGACCAGCCTGGCCAACATGGTGAAACCCCGTCTCTACTGAAAATACAAAAATCAGCCGGGCATGGTGGCACATCCCTGTAATCCCAGCTACTCGGGAGGCTGAGGCAGGAGAATTGCTTGAACCCGGGAGGCGGAGATGGCGCCACTGCACTCCAGCCTGGGCAACAGAGCAAGACTCTGTCTCAAAGAAAAAAAAAGAATGAAAGAAACTGAGAAGAAAAATATGATCCAAGCAGCATTTCCTATAAGCTCCCCATAGTAAATTTTGCTTCAAAACTAATTTGGGGGTATCTGCATAGAGTTTCTGGCCAGCAATAATTGAGCAAGAAGAGTAAAAGATAATCTCTCTTGTGGGGAATGAATAGGGTCTTCATCTCTAGGTATGCTGGATGTTTTCTTTCTTTCCTTCCAGATTACACTCCTCTATTCTGTAGGCTGTTCTCTGTCCTGGGAGACTGACCTATATGAACATCAATGGGCTTCTTGTGCTTTAGCATCCAGTTGGATTCAGCCAATAGGGAGCCCTGACAGGAGACTGGGGAAAGAGAAAAGACTTAAGTCAATGTATTGACATCTGCCAGGTGCAGTGGTTCACTCCTGTAATCTCAGCTACTCGGGAAGCTGAGGCACGAAAATCACTTGAACCTGGGAGGCAGAAGTTTTGGTGAGCTGAGATCACACCACTGCACTCCAGCCTGCGACTCTATCTCAAAAAAAAAAAAAAAAAAAAAAAAAGTCACTGCTTCTCTCAAGACACTCTCCCCCTCCAGGACCTAGAAACCAATAACTCCTTTTATCTTTTTAGGCCTAATACAGTGATTAGCCTCCAGTTACTGACCTATCTATCCTTTGCCCATATCTTTAAAAATAGCCCTTCATTATTTTGAGAATGTTGTTTCCTGTTGAGACCCTGTCCGATACACCTGGTAAAAGTAGGTGATCTTTTAGATTTATAGGCTTCATATTTTATCCATGTACTTGAACCTTACTCTCATACATATAACCTTATATTCTTATGAGCCAACAGTTCTGAAAGGTCAACTGCTGGATTAAGTAGCAGAGAGTGACACATACCTGTGTGGTTCTCATGGATGGGACAGTGACATCAAGGAGTTAAAAACCTGAGAGACAGTAATAGCTCAGGCCCTTGTGACTTAGCCCCCAAAGAACCCAAGATGTTGAACAGATTTTCAAGCTCTGTGACTGTGGAACCTTCTGTGTTTCAAGTCCCCAAAGCCTTACACAAACTGATGGACTCTGACTGCTGGGGCCCTGGTTTCTCCATAACCTCCCAGGATGCCTCTGAGAAATCAGCTTAGAAATCCCTGAGGATGATGATTCTATCCTCCTGTTGGCACATTCTAGTTTCCTAAAGACAAAAACTGAGCTAATAGTATGATTAAAAAAGAAAAAAAAAGTATTAGCAGATTTCTTGAGGTCATATTTATCCTTCTATTGTCAGGGATAGTTTATTTGAATTCATCCTCCTAATTTATTATTCACTACTCTTTATCAGGGAGAGGTATCTGTATTAATGAACTGCATATTTGGTGGAAGTCTACTTTCTTTTGGGTAAATAATTTTCTCACAAAGCACTTAATTTAAATATATATATTCATATGGCACTTTACAAATCCCTGTTGCCATATGTTCTTTCCATTCCTTACCAAAAAAACAGCCTCAAAGAGGTTGGTTGAATTGCCAAGGTCACATAGAAAACAACGGGTAGAGACCCAGGACTGTTGCTCTCACTGCAACATGATTACTTCTGTTAGCTCTGAGAGTTCAGTTTAGATACTCTTTTTTTTTTTTTTGAGACGGAGTCTAGCTCTGTCACCCAGGTTGGAGTGCAGTGGCCGGATCTCAGCTCACTGCAAGCTCCGCCTCCCGGGTTTACGCCATTCTCCTGCCTCAGCCTCCGGAGTAGCTGGGACTA